CGACTCTTCTCTGGGAGGCCAGAGTGACCTGCCAGCTTCTGCTGTTTTCTCAAATTCCTTCTGTTTAAAATATTTTAGGGTAGCATGTCCAGAAACCCATCAAGAGGAAAAACTTAGCTATTCAGGCTATATTATACAAAAATTGTCCTCAATTTATACATTAAAATTTCTTAATCTTTATCCTGATAATTTTCATTAATAAGTTTAAATAGTAGTATCTAAAATTCCTTCCTTTTTATAGTAACTATGTAATACTTTAAGAAATCAACTTGTAAACCTAAAACATCTCAATAAAAATTAGGTAAATCAGAGTATTTAGGTTCTTCACAAATTCTCCTGCTGTCTATTAAATCAGACTAGTTCTGACTCCATTATTTGGAACAAACAAAATATTAGTATTCCTATGTAATCATATACATATATAGTTTTCAACAAAGTTCTTAGAAAAGTTTTCTGATCAATGAAATACATTCTTCTAAAAAGTCAGACTATACCACTTAAAGTTTCTTATATATGACACAAAACAAAATATTAAGTTATTGGGCTGATGTTGTTAGACTGAAGTAATACTAATCCTGAGGCATTCATTTAAAAATAAATCTAGGAGCTAAGGGTATTAGCTCAATGACAGAGCACATACTTAGATGCTCAAGGCCCCGGTACTAAACATTGGTAATAATAAAATAAATCCAAAGAAGTAAAAAATACTGGGCCAAACATACTACTGCACACCTGTAATCCCCCCACTTGGAAAGCTGAGTATTAGGAGGATCATTAGTTTGAGGCCAACCTGGCCTAAATAGTGAAACCCTGTCTCAAAAACAAGAAGTAAAATACTGCCAAATTCCACATGTTGAACATTCCAATCATCATACACATGGAGGTTCCAATTACACTTCAAAATAGCTAATGCATGCCACCGCAGTGAGTAGATAAATAAATAAAAGTCTTAATGTATGCTAAAATATTACATTTCTTATAAACTATACTATAAAAAAAAAAAGCCAGTACAATGTACATGTAAGAGATTAAAAGCAACTGTAACAAACAGTGCTGGCATGGGAAACAGAAATTTGTTCTTCCTCATTTTCCTTTATTTGTAATGTTTTGTTGAAATTTTCAGAAAAAAAAATATATTTTAAGCAATATTTCCTAATACCTCTGGAATCAAGAAATTACAGAGGCAGTGGCTTTTGTTAAAATGACAAACCAACATCCTTGGGTTCCTATTCATATGGAAGTGGTGAGATTTCACAATCCTCAGCACACAATGGATCTTTTATCAATATTGGAAAATGCCTTTGTGAGAATATTCCCAAGAATGGATGGAATTCTCACTGTTGCAAGCACCCAGTGAACTATTTAGAAGAACAATGAATGAATGACTAATTAGAAATGTTTCTGGAGTGCAGTGATATTTATATTACAAAAGAAGATTTAAGTCTAGCATTTTTTCCAGGATAGTCAGGAAAAACAGATTAAGTTTGTTAAGAGTGGGCATCAGTTTCCCAATGATTTGCCATCAAAACTTTAAAAGCTGCCTTCTCTTTGGAAAATTAATTAAGTCCTACTTGACTTGTAAACACTTGTTTTTGTTTTTGCTTACATACTTTGCTCTGCCCTACACCAAACAGGATTTAAGATGAGTCTAAGAAGTGTACACCATAAGATAAAAGCATTGAAAATAAGGAAAATGAGACAACAGGAGACTAAAAACTCAGATAAGATGAAGATAAGTATGAGTAAAGTGCACAAATTAAAATGTTCAATTAAAATAAAAACACAAATTAAATATTCAGTTTTCATGATATAAAAAGCAATTTGCTCAAGGGAAATAATTCTGATTCTGAGATTAAAGAATAAGTTTTTCTAAGGCAGGGCATGAACGCTGTCAAACATTATGTCTGTGAAGGTCAAGGATGTAACAGTGTGTCCTGAAAGCTGTTGTAAAAGGAGGCAGTACTTGTGGGAGGGGGAGTGGGAATAAAGGAGATTAAGGTGAGGAAAATGATTGATGGACTTCATATATTTATAGAAAACAGAACAAAGAAACCTCTTGCAATAGTTTTAAGTGGAACAGGGAGGGGATTGAGGGGGAGACACAGTGAGAGTAATCTAACTAGCGTACAATATAAGCCTATATGGAATTGTCACAATGACTCCCCCCTGTACAATGAATATATCCTAATAAAAAAGTTCACAAAAAAAATCTTTCTAACCAACTCTTATGTTATTTAACACGATACAGCATAATCAACATTTTTAAATTATGTGCAACAAATTTCCATATGCTTTTTTCTTATAAAAATCAACAACATAAGCCAAAATCATGGGAAAAGCAATTCTCTAGTATCAATTCTACAGAGACTGACACGATTTTGTGTCTGGCTTAGTCTAGGTATGTATTTCTCAAGAAGAGATGCTTTTGGAACAAAGAAAAAGGAGAGAATGAGAACACTATTGTGATGAATGCAGTGACAATGCAATAGCCAGAACACTTCTCCAAGCCTTGCAGATCCTTTGGTAGATTTATTCCTATATATCCTTGCTGAATTTGTTGCTATTATAAATGAAATCCTTTAGAAAACTAGATATTTCAATTTTTAACCATTTCATATCTTGATCTTGTAACTAGCAATTTTGTTGGACTCTAAAATGAATTTTAATAGTTTTCCTTTGTTTCATATTTGATACTTCTAAGCTATCATTTGTTTTTATCTGTGAAATTAAAGAAGTTCCTTTATGTTCTCTATGAACCACAAGTCTAAATTCTTAACTCCAATATGCTACTCTCTGCCCATAACTTCTATTCCTTGTAACTTTCTTGCTCCTGGACTTCTATTGACACTAATTTTCAGTCCTATTGAGCCATTCTTGCAAGTACTAACCTCTTCCAGACTTTACTGCATTCTCTAATGTATACCCAATAATGTATCATCAAACACTCAGTCACTTCCTGGCCAATGTCCTGGCTCCTTTGACCTTTTAGCTCACTACCACATTAGGGCTCAATTGTGGATTAATTCAGTTTCCCTTTTCCATTCCCATACCTAGATCTCAGAATAAAACAAATTATAAACTTTTGGAATCTCATCCCAAACACATACTCAACATTGCTCTGCAACTCAATTAAATGTTGCTTAATAAGTTTTCCTCTTTCATTTCCCTTGACCACTATTCCAAACTTTCACTGCTCTTCTCAAGGCCTGATTTCACTTTAATTGTTCCCTTTAGTGTATGAATCTCATTTTTGATATCCCTAGATTTGGAAAGCATATACCAGTAAAACTAAACTACTTGTGGGGTCCCTAAATACATCTGGAGTTTTTCTTTGCACATGCTCTTCCCTCTACCTAGAATGCCCTCCTCCAATTTGTCCAACCAGAAAGCCTCTACTGAACCTTCAAACTTCAGCTCCAGGCTATGTCTTCTCTTGCACACCCACAGTACTCTGTACCTACACGTTATAATCACCTGCTTATTTGTTTCTGCACAAGACTGAACTCCTTAGAGGACAGGAAATTTTTTTGTTCAGTTTTCTATTCCAAATACCTCTTTGGTACAAGCTAATTGCATGTTGAAGGAATGAATTATTCCTACTAAAGTACAATTTCTTGGGACTACCATTATGTAGAGAAATGAGTTTAGAGGAAATCAATTTATAAAAACCTTAGATAAGGTTTTTATAAGATGAATGTGGCTGTTTCACCAGTCAATAGTGAATTTTACATTCACAATGCAAATAAAGTGTTCTTCCGTAAGATTCATTTCCAGTATATAACAGAAATCTTTTATAAAAAGATAAATAAACAGCTCTGTGTTTGATATACCTGAATGGATAATGAACTAGATGAACTTAAACCATATACTACAATACAACTGACAGCACTGTCAATGTCATTCTATTTCAACAACACAGCCCTGTATTTATACTGCCATTCACAAAATATCTATTCAAAAATCTTGAAACACAAAAGAAAAACTTCCCAACGATGGAACCTGATTCCCACTCTACCATTCTTCCACTGAACACGCATTTTCAAATGAGCAATTACTGAACTGCGCAGAGGCAATGCAATACTAAGTGGAAAGCATGTCCTGAAAGCTCATAGACACCTTGGTACTCTTTTTATTCTGATAAATGTGATTAAAATAAACTCCATATACTTTGGAGAGCATGAGGAAATAACAGATGTCAATGTCAGGAAGATGGTTAACTTGAAAGAAGGCCATAATATGGATTGTCAAGAGCATGATTCAGTTATAGTTGGAGGAGATGACCAGGTTATTGTGTTATTTCGATAGAGACAGACTGCTAGAGGGAAAAGTGGGGGAAGAGAAAGGAAGAAGGAAAAGGATAAAAGTCAACCAGACATGAATCAATGATTAGAGGCTGAACAAAAGGATTATTGACATGATATAGCATGAAATTAAAATAAAAATTGTCCATAGTTTGTAGGCTAACACCAACCTATTGTATCTGGAGCAAACTCAAAAGTCACCAATCCAAGTTACTTTTTTCTACATCTAATTCCAATAAATGTGAGGCCTCTTTCCACCAGCATAGACATTCTACTCAGCACATTCTCACAGCGAGTAACAGCTAAAAAGGGAGCAGCAAGATTGGAAATGCTGCTGATTTGTGTAACTGGCTCCCTGAAACAGAGATGACAATTCCCATCTTCTAAATATGCATCTGGTGATTGCAGTCACTCATTTCATGATGAGCATAGGGACCTTTCAGATTTAAATCGACACTTAGAGTCCAGTCTACCACCTTCCTTAGAAAGCCCCAAAATCAACAAGAATTAAGACAACTTTTCAGGCCCTTTATAATAACCATTCACTTATACAAGCAAATACCAAAGCAGCTCACCCACGAAGTGACGTTACACTGAATCCCAAAATTAAAAGATGTTAAATCTCCATTACAAAAATAAAAACCACATTGCTTCTTCAGCAGATGAGATTTCAATGTAGTGTACTGCTGTCTGTTTTACCTGCTATCTCCAAAAGTGGGTACATGTGATCTCCTTCAGCCAGCTTCACAAAGCCAACCTGATTTCCGAAAGTATCAATCCCTTGAAACGGCAAAGTCAAATGTCTGCCTTGGAGAATTTCTTCTATGAATGGCTTTAACTCCAAAAGTGCGCCAATACCACTAGTAAGAGATAACATCTTGTTCAGTAACATATTAAGTAATAAAATATGCAAAACCAAATAAGAACAAAGTAATATATTTTAGAAAGGTAAATTTTGTACTTGTACTTATTATGAAAGTCAAAATATTTTGTAGATCTAACCTATATAATTAAAGCTATTAGTTTTCTTTTTCTTTCTTTTTTTTTGGAGGTACTGGGATTTGAACCCTGGGCCTCACACTTATAGGCAGGCACTCTACCACTTGAGCCACTCCTTTGATTCCTCTAAATCTATTAGTTTTTAAACAAAAACTATAGAAGTGAGTTAAATCTTTGCCTATTACAATTGTTGTTTAAGACATGAAAGTAGGTATTATTTTATAGTTCAAAAAATGTCTAACCAAAGAAACATTGCATATACAACTCAAAAACTACTGATAATATATCCCCCCAAAAAACACACTACCTATAAAAGCTTACAGCAGGTTATAAGAAATGCTCTAGATTTTTGATAAAAGTACTAACGCTTTCTTATGCAATGCTTACTGTTTGCAAGGCACTCTACTAAAACTTAATACAGATTTATCTCCTAAAATATAACAGTCTTTATAATAAGGAATTTATTACATGTGAGTTCAAATAAAACATAAGCTTAGTTATGTTTCCCAACTGCAGCTATATGCTGTGCCAGCTGCTTAGTCTATGTTTACTTGGAGACTATTCTGTGCTTCAAATATTTATTTTTCTTTACAAAAACAAATGCTTATTATACTATTGAGTTAGACATCTGACTTTGAATATTTTAAAAATCTGAATCAATTATTTCTATCTTGAAGAAAATTTTAGTATAGGTACTTTATCATGAGAAAAAAGTTAAAATCTCACTAGAGGGCAGCAATTATTCAAAAAAAAAAAATCAGCACACACTACTCACATTATAGAGGGCTTTCAAACATCCTTCTGGTAAATAGTCATTAAATTGTCCTGATCAAGGATTTGTTCACCATTCAAATGTGTGAAAAACTATTTAGGTATATTTCTAGATCTTTCATATTTCTAAATTTGTCTTCATGTAAAGTTTTTAACTGATTTTCATCCATGACTTTCATACTCATTGTCATTTCTCTGTCATAACACAGTGATAATATAATACTTTCATAAGAGCTTTGTAAATGTCAACATTTCTCACTGTACACATCCTAAATCCAATCTTACCTGATTGTATTTATGGCCATTCAAAAAGACACAGTGTACACACTTCTAATTGAAGATTGTCATTCACTGTGTGCTGTCAATTAAAGCATGTGAGAACAAAACAGCCACTTCTGGCTCAGCTCACATAAACTGGGAGATTCAAGACATTCATCTTAATTCTCTTTTTTTGTTTTTGGTGGTACTGGAGTTTTAATCCAGGCTTCACACTTGCTAGGCAAGTACTTTATCACTCGAGCCATGTCTCCATTCATTTTAAATGAAACGAAATGCCAAATCAGGCAATGAAAAAGGTTAAGGCTTTTCAAAGACAGTGAATTCCATGTATTTTAAAAGAAATGCAGGTGACTTGCCAATGCCCACAATCATGTATGCCAATTCTTTAAATAAATCTACACATACAAATAGCTATGTATATATGAATAGACAAAGATAGACATGTACATCTATAAGTAGGCATATAGATATACATCCTACTGGTTCTGTTTTTTAGAGAACCCTGACTAATAAACCATTCTAACACACACAGGGCTCTACGCCTTTCTCTCAGCCATTTACTTTCTTGTGGTATATCTTTTTTGGTTCTTGTCTTTCAAGAAGTTTTTTATTCTAATTGGGAAAGTGGTCAACCAAAGTGGGTCAAGTAAATCTCTTCTCCTCTCAGCCCTTGCAGGGTGATCAGTTTGTGACAGATCAGGTTGATCTCCGAAGACCTGGGGCTCTACTGTGTAAAGGACATAGCTACAATCATCATCATAATGTGGCTGGATATTTTGATCTTTTAATATCATTCATTTTCTCTTTTATTTTGCTTTTTCCTCACTTCCTTTTCAATCTAAGCTTTGTTCTTCATTCCCTCAAGAGATGCATATGTCATGGCAGAAAACAGAAGCAACCTGCAATTCATTCTAGCTTTGGTTTTCCAAACAATTTAAGCTTGAGCTTAAAACAATGGGCTACACATGAGGTATCAAGGAAGGACTCATCAGTATAAACAGAGTATCCCAGAGAACTGGGAGAAGATTAGAAAGCAGTCAGCAATGATGTGTACTAAACTTCTATGGAATGACCCTGGAATAGGGGTGGAGGGAAGTACAGGAACTCTCAGAATGACTAAGGTGAAACTGAAACTGTCCATAGTCCTAGAAAATACCAGCTCTACTGGCTACTAATATTGAGCACCTACTACATGCAAGGCCTTATACTAAGGGCTCTTATATGTACTGGTACTGTTATTTTCTCCATTTACTGAGAAATTAAATCATTTGCCCAAAGTCAGGCAGCTAACAAAAGCTGGTTCTGCCATAGTTCCAGAATGGTTAACTAAAATCCCAATTTAAGACTACAGAATCACATTCCAAAGTACCTACATAATTAACACAGGAAACACAACCATTTAATAAGGGTTGTCACTTGATAAACAATAAAAGAGTAAAAAAGTCTAGATTAAAAAGAATTTAGTTAATTCTGCACATTGACAATTGGGATAAATTATAATAAAGAATACTTCTTTGGAATTGAAATGCCTTTTGGGGTTCTGCTGTTTATGCATATTAAAGCAATAACTGGGAAAATAATATTCAAGAGAGATATATTACTCACATGTTTACTTCATCTTCATTTAATAATTGCATCACTAGCAGGGTAATATGAAAGGAACCATCACCCACCATTGCTTTGGCCAGTCGCTTATCTTGTTGTACTATTGCCTTTTGAAGGATCTTAATTCCTCCTGTAATCTAATCATATGTACAAAAATCAGACATTGGTATGTACAACTTTTATATGGCAAATTGTATAAATCAAGAAAAAAATAAAATAAACTACCAAACTCAGAACAAGGTCAAGATTCTGCAACCAAACAAATGCTTAATTGTCTACTTGTTCTCACATATTCTGTATAGTTGACTTGGATGGTTTAAAAGGATATATAAATTTAGAAAATCATAAAATACTTGTCCATCTTAAGAGCATTGAGCATAACCACCCTTATTTTGCAAGCTGGGTCACTGGTTGAGTGAAAAAACTCAATGGCTATGCATTTTTTTAGAAATCTGTTCTTGTAATACAGGCTATGACTCACTAATTCACTTTTCTAAGAAAAAAAGCTTTATTCTTTGTACAGAAAGGTCAAATCAGCAGACAACATTCCATTTCTGTTAAAAGTAATATTTATTTGTCCTCAAATGAATGTGTCTGAGGACCTATTCCTCATGGCCTTTAAGATCTTTTAGGATAGCAATAATTTCAACAAGAATGGTTATTGTCATTTTTTCCTGACCTGTGAGGAAGGGCATAACATAACCATGGAGACGAGTGAAAAGACACCCAAATGTGAATGTTAGAAAAACCATTACAGTCTACATACAGATGAAAGTTCCACAGACCTGAAAACTCATCTGCCTTCCCTTCTCAGTACCTGCTCCTCTGGAATAGGAAGAAGACTGATGCACCCTCCCTCCTCCACTTCCAATTAGTCAACTTCTAAATGTGACTGTACTGGAGAGTAGCCTGAGTATAAAACAGCAAACCTAGAGAAAGTCCAGAGAAAAGAGAGTACACAAAAGCCCTAAGAAAGCAGAATTACTAAGAGAGAAAAGGAAAAGGGAGTGGGAAATAGAAGCAGAATCCATTTAAAAAAAATTTATAGCAAAGATAAGAAAAAACTGAGTCATGAGAACAGCAGGCTATTCTGATACTAGAGTAGCTGTTTTATCCTGAACAATGTTCCCATTATCTGTGGAATGTGACTAGGAAAATCATGAGATGCTGTCTCAGGGTCTGACTTCCCATAAACAAAGACTCTCTCCTTTAACCAAAACTTTAATTAGGCTCCTCCAAGTCCTCGGCTTGACTAGGCCTAACCTTGGGCTTCTCTCTTTGTCCTTGTAGAAACCCACTTTGAGTAAGAATCCTGTGAAGTCAGTTTAGGGAAAATCTCCCACCCTTGGTAACTGACCACCCTCATCATCGTTACCTTCAGTAATAATTCTGTCAAGTCGTTTTAGCCACAAACCCTTTATCATTGATGTTTCCTCTTAGTAATTTTCTATCCATAACCCCAGCCCTTCTCCTTGGTTATAAATTCCCTTGTGTTTACTGAAGTCAGAATTAAGTTCAATCTGCCCCCCTCCACAGTGAGCTCCTGTGAGATACCTATTGCCATGGGCCCCTGAATAAGGTCTGCATTGCCATCTTTAATAACTAAATGAATAATTTTAAAAATCATGTATCTTTACAATAAATCCAGATTACCTAAAATACCTCAGCACTTTTCTGTTCTGAAAAGAGACTAACAAAGAGTCTCTGTTCTGAAAGAGACTAACAGAGGAAATGGTGCTTTCCTAATAAGGAGCATTAAAGCAAAACGAAAATGGAGACCAGGCCTGAAAAACTCCCTGAGCAAACAAAACCAATTAGACCTTAAAATTTTTCAACAAGTTTAAAAATAGCCTTAACTTTGCTTAAACTGAAAACATAAGCAAAACCTAACATGAGCCATTTCTGGTCATTTCTGCTTATATTAAACAGAAATTAACGCTGGCCAATCATAAGCATCCAACTAATACATACATGGTTATGTGACTAGGGATATTTCAACAAAGTAAACCAAAATAGGCACTCTTGTTAACTGCAACCAATCATCTATTTCTTCATTTTGCTTCCACATTTTTCCTATAAACACTTGCTTCTGACACTGAAATTATAATACTAAATCTCTTTCAGTCTGGTGTTCCCAATTCATGAATTGCTTCTTACTCAAACTTATTAAAACTTTATCCTGTCCAAGATTTTTCTTTTACACATTGGTGGTAATGGTGGCATTCAAGAGACCCCTGGTGACCTCCAGGAGTATTAAGGAATCAAATGAAGGGTACTCCTAAGCCCTCTGCACTCACTACTTTCAGGCTGCATATGGTGGTCCTGGGTAAGTCCCTCTCAGATTCTGAGTTCCACTTCTGCATGCTGAGCACTCTGAGTTTAATTGTGTGATTGCATTCCCAGTTGGGTCAACTGGTCAAATGGAATATTTGAACTGGATTCAATGGAGGCCTCAGGTAAGTCAATTTTAGAAAGACAGGATTCTCTGGGTTCATCAGCATCTAAGGAGTGCCTGACTCCACCACCTAGAATGTTGGCTAATTTTTGTTCAGAATTATGGCCCCAAACCCATGCCTTTCTGGAGAAAAGTACACCATACCAAAGATGATTTAGAGTTGCAGTAGATACAGTGTGGAAGTTTTAATCTAGATAAAATTGATCATTTGTGGGATACCTTAGAAAAGAAGGAGTGCCATATGCCTCAGAAACAATGGGATGGGAGGGCAGTTGTTGTTGTTTATTTGTTTTTGCAGTACTGGGGATGAAACCCAGGGCCTCAAGCATGTTAAGAATGTGGTATTACCAATGGACAATGTAAGTCTATTTGGAATTGTCACAATGAATCCCGCCATACAATGAATATATCCTAATAAAAGTGAAAAAAGATACCACTCTTATGAACATTCAAATTTTGAAATGCTTAATATTTTTATTAGTTTCTTCAAATCAGGATGCAATAATTTGTCCATTACCAACAAAATTAGTTAATGTTGTCAGAGTTAAGGAAAGCTATTGGAAAGAAGGGCCTCACAACTGCATGCTGGAATTTTCCAATAGATAACTACATGTGCTATGATACTGAGAATGTGTTAACTGGAGGAAAAGGTCTCTGAAAAACATTCTTATCTTCACTGTTTTCTATAGACAGTCATAGCTTTTAATGCCATGAAGGAATATCACACACATGGAAAGTTTGATTTTATTTTATAGAAATAAAATCATATAGATGGTCTTTATAAAGACCACCAGTCATTAGTTCACAATCTTGTGTCAGTAGGAAATTGTCATTTTGAAACATGTGGTCTTCTACTGGGCAAGACACAAGCTTGTAAAAACTAATTCCAAAACTGCCTCTCTAAAAGACTTCTCATTAAAGGCAATAAGATAAATGAAAAGCTTCAGCAACAAATTGAAGATGAAAATAAAAACTAAAAAGTAACTGACATAACTCTAATCCATTTCCTCTGTTTATCCTACTCTACTTACTCGTTCCGAACCCACTAACACATTTGTTGAACCATCTTTTACCCTGAACCTACAATTACACCCTAACAATGGTGAGAAAAGAGAAATGAGACTAATGGCTTACAAAACTAGGCCCTTAGAACAGCCTGGTTTTGCTCCTATAACTACTTTTACTTCTTGGTCAAAAACTGAACCTTGAGGCTTAGCCAAAGATTTTTTCCAGCCAGGCACTGGTGGCTCATTATCTATAATCCTAGCTACTCAGGAGGCAGTGATCAGGAGGATCAGAGTTCGAAGCCAGCCTGGGCAAATAGTTTGTAAGACTCTATCTTGGCGAGGATGCGGGGAAAAAGGAACCCTCTTACACTGTTGGTGGGAATGTAGACTAGTACAACCACTCTGGAAAAAAATTTGGAGGCTACTTAAAAAGCTGGACATCGATCTACCATTTGATCCAGCAATACCACTCTTGGGGATATACCCAAAAGACTGTTACTCCAGAGGCACCTGCACATCCATGTTTATTGCGGCACTATTCACAATAGCCAAGTTATGGAAACAGCCAAGATGCCCAGCACTGACGAATGGATTAAGAAAATGTGGTATCTATACACAATGGAATTTTATGCAGCCATGAAGAAGAACGAAATGTTATCATTCGCTGGTAAATGGATGGAATTGGAGAACATCATTCTGAGTGAGGTTAGCCTGGCTCAAAAGACCAAAAATCGTATGTTCTCCCTCATATGTGGACATTAGATCAAGGGCAAACACAACAAGGGGATTGGACTATGAGCACATGATAAAAGCGAGAGCACACAAGGGAGGGGTGAGGATAGGTAAGACACCTAAAAAACTAGCTAGCATTTGTTGCCCTTAATGCAGAGAAACTAAAGCAGATACCTTAAAGCAACTGAAGCCAATAGGAAAAGGGGACCAGGAACTAGAGAAAAGGTTAGATTAAAAAGAATTAACCTAGAAGGTAACACCCACGCACAGGAAATCAATGTGAGTCAATGCCCTGTATAGCTATCCTTATCTCAACCAGCAAAACCCCTTGTTCCTTCCTATTATTGCTTATACTCTCTCTACAACAAAATTAGAGATAAGGGCAAAATAGTTTCTGCTGGGTATTGAGGGGGGGAGCGGGAGGGGGTGGAGTGGGTGGTAAGGGAGGGGGTGGGGGCAGGGGGGAGAAATAAACCAAGCCTTGTATGCACATATGAATAATAAAAGAAAAATGAAAAAAAAAAAAAAGGGCTGGTAGAGTGGCTTAAGGTGTAGGCTCTGAGTTCAAACCTTAGTACTACAGAGAGAGAGAGAGAGGTTTTCCAAATCCCAGAGGAATCCACAAAAAGGAGTTCTGGGGTAAGATGGTAGGCTAACTCCACGGACAACAAAGGAGAGACTATATTTTGAGGAAATAAAGAGAAGAAGAGCATTATGAGTGGAGAAAGAGGTGATAGAACAGCTAAAATGCACAGAGAAACAGAAAGGTGACACAGAGAAATATAGGAAACAATCCATATTCCACCTCTGGCTCTGGGGGATTCAGGGAGAGCAGGACAAAGCAGAAACCAAGGGAAGTACTAGGGATTGAGCCTCAAGAGAAAGCTGCTTACTAAGAAGACTTCCATGTATAACCACAAGAGATATCTATCCCCATAGCTGC